GCTGGGGGAGGATTAGGACCACACAAGAAAATCGTAGACTTTCTCCTATTCTATACATATTTGTGTGACCAACACCTATTTACGTGTAAGTGCAGTCAGTAAATACTGTGCATCAGATAAAAGTAGACGATTTATGACCAGCAGGTTTCAACATTAAACTTCAAGTACATGTACAAGTACATTTATTTGGGAAGGGTGACATACATACATGTATACCGTACCGTATTGTCCATGTACATGTATGTTTCAAGAGTTACATGTACATGTACATGTATATGTACTGTATGCAGTCCAAGTTATCCCCCCAGGATTATTATTCATCCTTATTCTCACTTAATTAAATGTACAGAACACCTCATGGCACAATTTTTGTGACCCTTGAAATGTCAGCCAGTAAAGTTATACAATTGGGTGTACTGGGTAGCTGTACAATAAGTACGGTACATAATGCATCATTTCGTGTAAAAGTGTGTGATGTTCCAACCAAATCTTGATGTCATTTCTGTATATGATCATTGTTAGCCTACAGCTTGAGTAAAAAAATAAATTACATGTACATGTTCGTATAAACACAGCCAAACATTTAAACAATCCTATGGGGGCTCAAGTTTCAGATTAGGAAACCCTACTGTTACAGTACACATACTGATACAATGCATTTTTAGTGTACATGTACGAACCTGCATCCAAAAAAGAGTTCTGTGATTTAGTACCTTTATTATGCATATTTTGTACCTTAATTAACTTTCACATTAAACACCAACATTCATTTGTTTTAAAGTAATGATCATGAAGTTGTAATCTTGTGCTCCAAAGAAGTTTGTGAACTACATGAGTATGTATAGTGCATCAAGAAATGTCAATCTAATAAAATACCAAAAGATGCAAATACTGGTACGAAGATCAGCTCCAGTGATGATAAACACAAATATTCATGAAGTTGAGTGGGATGACAAAACTTGACTTTATATTTTATAAAGTAGAGTATTGACAATTTTTCTGCCGTTCTTGTAGGCACTGAGGAGCTTGGTTTTAATTTTTCAAGTTCACCATTGCTTTCTATTGGACATTAACCAACAAATCTACTTGTGTCCTCTTAGTCCTTGAATGTAGATTCTGATTCCACATATTACCAGAAAAATAATCTGAAAACTGCCACACACCCAGATACCTTGCGTTTTGAATTACGCATGAACTATGGTTTAGTGTTAAAATTATTCTAAAGTGTGTTTCAAGCATGTTTTCATTCTGATCAAATATGCCATATTGGCATGCAAAAATAATCACTTTTCCACACCAATGAAATTTCCAGTTCACTTACCTGACATTATTGAGAATGATTTTGTTTATTCTCTTGCCATCTTCTTTGGTCTTGACCGTGTAGCTGATATTGTGGAAAGATACAGTGCATCCATGAACAGAACGGCTCCTTTCAGAACGAGGTTCTTCAGGGGGGGCATGGTTACTTTCAGCGAGGCTGTCATAGATAGAGGAGGAAACACTGGGAAGAAGGGTCTCCTAAATAAGAAGAACATTGATAGGGAAAATTTTCATGAGATTTGGACATGACAACATTTGGGCAATTCTACCAGAAAGTGATGTTGGAGGGTGGATAGCCACAGTGGTACTACGTGTACATGTATGTCCTCATGGAACACGAGTATGCACTGATCACAGCTTCTGCTGTGATTGCTATTGCTGTTAAAACAACTCATGCCATTGTATCTTCTTGTCTGCTCTTCAATTTTGTCAATACTTTTGAATGGATCTTGGTGTAAATAATGTCTTGAAATTCAACCACCAGACAAAACCCCCAATCCCTTGTGGATCACAGATTTCTCTGTTAACCAAGTTTGTTATAAATCCTGGACTTCTCCCATATGGCAAAAAATGAAACATCATAAAAACATCAGTCAACAAAGGACATCACAATCAATAATTTTCCTTGAAATTTATATCTAATTTACTGTGCACGTTTCAAATTGTCAAAGTCTTTCGATTTAACTATCAATAAAATATGCACATGTGTAAGAGCATTCCAGTGAAATCTATGATAAATGTTTGAAAACATTCTGTACACATGGGCATATCATGCACATTATGACAATGCAGTAAAATAATGGGCATGTATTCAGATGACATTGATTTATAACTGAAGCAAAAGCTGTGGGGGGTTTGGGGAGAGCAGTACAATGTACATGGATTGCAATAGTGTCCGCCCCTGCAAAATTAATGTATACATGTACATGTACATACTTTCTGATCTGACCAAATACCACTGAATTGCATAAATGTGCCTGACAGAGCACAGGCACTGTTTTGTAGCAGTATATCAATTACTCTCTTACATCTACTGCACATGCTCATCCGTGGACAATATCAATTTTTATGAGACAGTTTTGGGCATAACAATGGCTGTTATAAGTGGACCATGCACAATGGTCCCCACAAAATGTTGTACAATCAACGCTGCAAAACTGTACAAAGCTGTACATGTACAACTTCACACAATCTAATGTCTGAACCTTTGCAAATCTATGAATGAAAAAACTATAAACCTGCTGTCTGAAAGCACGAAAATGGAAGAAAGGGGAAAATAAATTGAGAATGCTAAACATTTGATAAGTGAGTAGCAGAGCCAGAATGTGGATGGCTGCAATGGATATGATAACTGAATGAATAACTAGGAGAGGGCTGGCAAAGTCTTATTTAAAACAAAATCAAAATAATTTGATTTTTAAAAATCTATTAGAGATTTTTTATTTAAATCATATTTTTATTTCTACTAGTATAAGATTTAGAGAGAAGTCAGTTTAATTATCTATGTACATGTAGCGGCAGGTGTGTTCAAGTTCTTTAATTTTTTTGTTACAGAATGAAATAAATTTGGGATTAAATTTAAGATATTTAATTCAAGTAATTAGATTAAAATCACAATCCACCTTCACTATTTTCCAAGCCCACATGAAACGCATGCAGTACAGTACATGTACATTGTACCTTCATGTAACTGCAGAGATGGAAAATGATTTCTTCAGACACAGGTGCTGGAACATGTACAAGGGTCAAGTGCATACGGTTTTAAACCAAACTACATGTATGTTGCAATGGTAGCTGGGGCCAACTGGCTCACAGACAACCAAGCAATAAAGTGGCAGACATCCTTGACCACAAGGGGGGCACGCCATAGAAAGCCCTCCAGCCTGTTTCATAAGTCTTGTGGAAGTTTTGAGCTATGGCAGCAGCAAGCAGGCATCCACCTCACCATCTAATAAATCACCCGAGGTGGGACCAGCATTGGGGTCAAAGCCAACTCGGCGGCGCGCCGGGAGCCTCTCGGCAAAAACGAGCCATCTGAAAGCAGGATAAAGCATCAGCAATATCATTAAGTTGGTGCGGAACATGCACTGCCTTAAGTGAAATGGTAAATTAGAGGCACTTCAAGACAAAGGAGCGTACAAGCTGCATGATCTGAGGACAAGGGGCGGACGTCTTGTTAATGATGTGCATAACAGCAACATTGTCAGTGTGAAAACGCACCTTGCAACCAGCCAGCAGCGGGGCCCAGCAACGCAACGCAACAGATATAAGGAAAAACTCCAAAAAGGCAACGAAAAGATGGTTTTGGGACCAATCTGTAGACAAGCGGCCCTGGATCCACTTCCCCTGAAAATAAGCCCCAAAACCAATACTACCTGCTGTATCAGTAAAAAGATCAAGTGCATCATTAGATTGCCAATCACTCTTAGAAAATACTGAATACCCATTGTAACAAGTAACAAACTCTAGCCACATGAACAAGTCATAGCGGGCACCGCGAGAAATGCGGACAGCGTGATGTGAGCGGCGTAAGCCTTGAAAGAGTACTGTTAAAGGGTGCAAGAAAGCACGGCCCGGGGGAACCACCCTGCAGAGGAAATTGAGTGAACCCACGAGGGACTGAACACCTTGAAGGGAAATCTTGCATTTGCCCAAAACTGTACGAATGTGCTCAGATGTAGCGTGCACTTTATCATTCGGTATGCGTACTTGTTCCTGCAGGGTATCAATCTCCAAACCCAAAAAGTAATGACCTGTATAGGCACCACCATTTTCTCAGCAGCTAGAGGGATGCCTAACTTCACACAAACCCATTGAAAAGAATGCACCAGCTGCATGCAGTCATTTGCACTACAGCCAACAAACAGGAAGTTATCCAAATAATGAGTAACATTTGCTGAACCAGAAACTGACTTAACTTGAAATTCCAAAAGTGTGATAAATTTCTCAAACAGTGCACAAGAAATACCGCAACCCAAGGGCAAACACCGATCATAATAAAACATACCTTCAAATGTAAAACCAAGCAAGTCATAATCTAAAGGAGAAACTGGCAATAAGCAAAATGCAGATTTTATAGCAGCTTTTGTGAGCCACGCACCACGCCAAAAGTTACCAATTCTACTGCCCGATCGAAACTTCACAATGCTTATCAATGAAATCATTGATGGATTCACCTTCTGGAAAAGAAAGGTGATGAATAAGCCGAAAGCGATCGGGTTCTTGTTTTGGAGCTAAGCCAATTGGGGAACACTGCAAAGTGGGTAGAGGACGGTTGGCGGTTAACAACGTCGCCATGAGACGGCACATGCTGTGTGGGCAGTCGAGATAGAGGACCCCATGCACCCCAGGTGTGACTACAGCTGGCCCAGGAATGGTACAATACTGATGTGCATGATGCTCCAAAGCCGCCGGCCGCCCAAGCTCTTGGTACAGTGAAGCCCACAGCAAATCCAGAGGGGAGAAGCTGGTAGCTATTTGGCAGTCCGTGAACAGCACTTCCAGTCGGCATAGAGATCCCGGAGTTATACATCACAGTTGTCATGGTGGTCGATTGCACCACAGACACAGCAGATGGGCCCACAGGAATGACGGCGAGCAACACCGGCGGGTAGATGGCAGGGCTCGCCCTCACCGCGCGTGACCCCACCGAAATTGAAATCACCACCTGTGGAGGAATAGCTCCTTTGGTCCCTTCGAAACCAGTGGCTGCGTGCCATAGCCAGCCCCAATTCCGGAGTTAAGGCCTGCTGTCGAGATGGCTGCTCCTGCACCGGCGGGCGGTCAAGACATGTCTGATGAGGCAGAGGGGCCACCTTCATCAGCAACATGAACGGCCCATACAGCAGTGCTGAGCAGGCTGTCGTGTTGCTTGTTGCTTCTGCCTTTTCGGGGCAGGCTGAGATCCAATTTCTGTCGTAAAGCAGCTTGGGCGGCGACACTGCTGAGTAACTCGTGCACAGTACATGACAAGTGAAAATGGTTAGCAAAATATATTCCAAACAAGATATTTCTTCAAGTGTAAACTTCTTTCTAGAAACACCTCTGCCTCATCCGAGTGACTGTGACAGAATGACACTCCTAGATATTCCCGCCAAGAAAATCACGCCCCTCCTCTTCATTGGCCCTTTCCCTTTATTTACCTAAGTTGAGTTATGTCATGATCCTTTTACTCACCAGCTTAACCTTTATTGCCTGAAACAATCTTCCATATTTGCATCTGCATGCACTCATTTGCATAGCCTAAAACAGAAGGGGTATCTCAAGGACCAGGTCAAGGGGCAGTAGAGTGAGGGAAGCTGACTGTGTTCGATGAGCATAATGCCTTTTATCTGTTATGTGATAAAAGGTGGTACCTGTTTACTTGTAGAGATACATGTAAAAGGTAGTACACGTATGTACATACATGTACATACTAATACTTTGCACTGTTAAACTCAGGACTGAACACTTTAACTTAAGTGAAACTACAGTACAGTAAATCGTGATTATAATTTCTTAACATGAAATTCATGCACTGCAAAAAAAGCTGATTTACATGTACACATGTATATCGTCACAAGTGGCTTGAATTCAACAAACAATCCCACCAACCCAGATTGTGTGTCACACATGTATTCATACTTCCTATCAACAGTAGGGACTGAAGGGCTCACAGATGGGATTTGCTATTTACAATATAAATGAGCAAAGCCTGGAAAAATTGTCAATCACGTAAAACAAAACTAAAAATTGGAACATTTTTCTTTTAAGTTTTCAAAAAATTTAAATTGTTGATTTAAATCAATGTTTTCTAAAACCAACTCTGTTAGATCACTTCCTATGTTAGTAGGCCCTCTCTCGCCCGCGAAAACCTGCATGGCACATACAATAGGTTGGCGATGCAGCGTGCATGGCGCCAGAAAACTGACCAAAATCTCGACCCAGACCTGCCCTATTTGGGCGCGAGTGCTAGAAGAAACTATCGCGGTCAGGTGTTGTAGACAACTGGTGAGCTTACAGTTGTATTTGTTATATTTTGTGTTCTAAATAGAATAGTGTTTTTGTAGTTATACTCGTTGAAATTTTTAACCTTGCCACATGGAATCTGCCATGTTACACACGACTGTTGGGGCGCCATAATTCTCACCATTTATGATTTATAAAGAGTTCTCACTTAGAAGTAAGAATTGCAGAATATGAATAATATGTCATGTTTT